CCCCCCCCCCCCCCCCGAATCGAAATCCTGGCTACGGGCATGCCTGAACTGATTGATTTAGAAAATGCAAAATCATAGATAATAGTGTACTCTATTGAAATGAATGGTTTCCAGCCCAAGAATCCCATAGATTTGTGCTGGAGGACATAAAAATGTCTAGGGAGGACATATTTTGCTGAATATCAGTAAATTAAACCATTAGTGCAAGTCCTGCAAATATAGGGATTTTATTGTTTTCTACTTATAGCTTCAGATTTTCCAGATTTTTTTTTAGACATATTACAGTGACCCACACTCTTTTACTGAAAATTTCAGTCAACTGGAGCATATGTATCACTCCAGGGAGGAACTCATTGATGGCAAGAAACATCCATTAAAGGAAATAAATATACTTTAGCCATCTGAAGGCATACAAAACTGCTTTCCATTAGGCACATTTTCAAAAATTAATACAGAGACAGATATATTTATGACATCTTGCTAAAGAGGAACTCTGTCAACACTCCCTCCCAAAATGGGGACGCTATCTGAAATATTTGAATTCATACCTGGTTAAACCAGCTGGACCATACAATGGCGTCTTCATCAATGCTGGCTGCTTCATCTGGAGGAGCCCAGGGATCCAGCTTTCCAACTCTAACTCCAATCCAAGATCCGTTTTGAAACGTGACCCAATTTATGATGTCAAATCCAGCCTCAAGCACTCCATTCTGGTCAAAGGAAACCTTTTCTCCAACAGTGTTATTAAATGACACAGATTTCAAAAAGTGATGGAGCTACATGCAAAAAAAAAAGAAAACATTTTCCCTTTGAGAACTATGTATTGAAACAGGAGTAACCTTAACATGTATTGTACCAATTATATAGGTAAGCACTGAGGATGCTTGCCATAGATGCAGGAGAAACGTCAGGAGAAATGCCTCTAGAACTGGGTCCTATAGCCCGAAAAAAACCCACAAGAACCTAGTGATTTTTTTTTCATTTGTATTTCTATGGCCAAAGTGAAACACAAAAACCTTTCCAAATTAAAATCAGAATCCAGTACCTGCCACACTGGCGGTCTTCTCTCTGACTTCATGAATACCTTACTTTTGGACCTAGATGAATACATTTTATGTAAAGCGTGAGCCACGGCATAGACAGTGTTATAGATGTTGTAACTCTGGCCTGTTACACTCACTGGGAGGACATGCTCATGAAGGCTCTCCAACCTCTCCTCTCCAGTGCAGATATCTCCAGTCACATTGCTCTGAAGGGAATCCTGAAATGTACAGCTAAATACCTGAGTCCAAAATTCTTTAAGGAAACTATCTTCATAAGCCGCAGAAGGATTTCTGTTCTGAAGAAATTGCTGGAATCCTGGAAGTTCTCTGGAGTGAAGTGTAAAGGACATTGTGCAAAGGAATGGTGCATCCCAGTTCCACCTGCTTGCAAGGGATTTTAATTTCATTCCAACTGTCAAAATCCAAACTTTACCTCTTGGCTTTGATATTATGCCATTAATTACTTGAATTAGAAAATCTCCCAGAAATGTCATGTGATATATATCCCAATAAAGAACCCAAATATTGGTTTTGCTGTTCATGATTTTATCATACAATTGAAAAGCACAGTTTAATAAAGTGACCTTGTCAGTGTTATACTGTAAACATAAGTTAGTAAATGACTCTATGAAAGCAAAACAGATGCTTTTCTTGGAAAATTCTGGGATCATTGTCTTCATGAACCAGTCTAATGTCAACCCATTTGCAGCAATGAATGAAATCCATCTCCATTTGAAATATTGAAGTAATTGGAGAATCCCCCAATACTGATGGGCTTCATTTGGAACCATTTGGTATGAGGGAAGAGGGTTGGTGTTTCCAATTTCAACAGTAGTAGCACTAAATATAAACTAAAGAGAGATGTGAAGGAATAAATAGAAAATAAAATATTATTGTCTGCCAATGGAACAGAGAAAAAAGCATCTGTACAGTAGGTATATTTAAAATTTGAATAAGTTGGCTCTAAATACAACAGCAACGTCTCCTTCCACTGGCTTTTGACAGATTTTTTTTCAGATCCTACCATTTTCTTTTTCTTCCATTCATTAGGTGTTAAAGATATTTAATAATTTAAAATGTTCTTTATCATTCTATATTATCATACCTCCCATAGAAAGCTGATATTGATTTGGAATAGAATCATGTCATTCTGAAAACCCATATGATCGTGCATGATACAAACTTGCCTTATACTCTGCTCCAGTAAAATATGGCATGAGTCTATGGAATCAGAGCCAATAGCAGTGAATAAAATAAAATATCATGGTAAACTATACATGTGCTTGAATAACTGGAATTAACTCCCCATGTAAATATGATTTGACCTGTTGTAGAGATATTGGTTTCGATCAACATGAACTAAATCAAGTGGAATTCTGTATGAACTCCACATGATTTCTGGCTGGATTTGCAACAATTAGTAATCTAGGACAATGAAAAATTGTATACCAGGAAGCTCTGGTGGAAGCGCTGGTATTTGTGGGTGTAGACAGCTGAATCAGGCTTGATCTGGATTGTGCTTGATCCCAGTTCATTGTCCAACAAATATTGGGCCCTTTGCTGGTGATGTTGCTTTTGGTGAGGACATAACATGAGACAAGGAGAAGTAATGTCTCCAGTAAACTTCTGCAAGGCATCTGCTTCTGGATTTTGGTGTATAGATGTATCCTTGGCTGGGTTAGCCATCTCTATACCAAAAGGGCTCCAGAGTAATTTACCCAGAACATTTGGTGACTTATTTATTCAAACATGGTCACATTTCAAGGATATTCTTTAGAGGATACCAAGCTAACCAATATGCCCCATGCCTCTTTCCAGGATAGTGAAAAATAAGCCACAAGCATACTTTGAGTGCTTGAACCACCACAGGATACTTGTTGTAAAATAAGTCCTTTTCAGTTCTAAGACTTGATTCTTGTTATTCTTTGATTCCAGTGATGCCTCAAAGCGGATCAGTATGTGTCCGTATTAAATTTGTTTCCTTAGTTTCTTTCTCAGCTTTCAATGGTGCAGCTTTGTCTAACTAACAATTTATAACTTTACCACTAGTTTCTATCAGATCAGTGTCAGTGCTAATCTGCAAATTAGGAATACAACTAAATACCACTCAAAAGATAAATCTCCTCAAAGTTAAAGCAACAGGTTAGTGATATTTTTCTAGAATGAAAAAAAGAATAATGCATGTTGTTTCTCTTGCCGTGCTTTTTCTAAGCAAGCAAAATGTAATTTTTAAGAATACAAAACCAAGCCATTTTTGTCTATATATAGAATATATAATCACCCATAGAAAAAAGTACATTCCTGTCATCCAAAAAATACACATCTTACCTGTGGAATTTTGTACATGGCCAATAAATTTTCTGTCTGCAGAGAAAAGCCATAAACCTGTTCTTCAATTACTGCTAGTAACTTCTCTCCAGTTTCACATCTATAGTTGGGGACAAGTCTGTTCTTCTGAGAAATAAGTTGCATTGTGGCATTATAGGTCCATCTTGCATTGAAATGGCTGTCATAAAGGTTGAATCCCATTGTAATATTGGGTAACAGATAGGGATTGTTGTTGATTTCATTTATAGCAAATACCAAAGCCAAGATGTGCTGGTAGTTTTCAGTTAGTACACTACAAAGAGATTGATATATTTTTAACACAGACATTTTCTCTTTCTAAATTTGTTACCAGACTAGCAGAACATCAAAACCGTATCAGTGTATAAACTTACTGCAAACTTCTGCATTTGCAATCTGCTAAGTTGTTCAGAAAGATAAATGTTGATAGAGAATATATTAACGTGAAATCTCGTATCTTCATATTAGAATAAAACATATTAATGAAGGGATCTTTCTTTGTCAAAATTGCATTCTTCGCCTCATATGTTGCCTATCAGAAGCTGATATTTTCCAGGGCTGTATGCATGTACAGACACATAAATCTACTGATAATGTAAAAATATAGATTCCAAAAGTGCAGTACAATGAAAGATGTAACAACACATTATGCAACACACAACATTATGTAAATTATGCAAAGTATATGAGACGATACCAACTTGTCTCAGAATGAGGCAGTTATTATTTATTTTGGTGCTAGATTTTCTACCAAATTAGAAATCTAGTTCAGGGATGAGAACCTTATCTATTACTACTTAATCGAAGAAGAGAATCATAGTGTAAAATAAAGATGATGGAAGATAATGCTAGCATGGGAAGAGAATGGAAATATTAACAAAATCAATGCCACTATAATAAAAGGGAAGGGAAGAAGGTAAGATTTGAGAATTTAGATTCACATACATACATACATACATACATACATACATACATAGGAATACATGTCCACAGTCCAGTATAATAAGACATTATTTGATGATGAAAATTGTTTTATGAATTATTCTCTTTTGTGCAGTTTCATAATCTAACCATAATGTGTCCTTAAATATCAAGACCTAGTATGAAGTTTTAATTCTAGTTTCTATTCCATATCAGATGTACATTTAAAAATTAAAACAATAACTAATGCATCTTCAGCTTGATATTTTCCCTGAAAAATATGATAGACATAGAACAGAATATGATGTGAAGATATATGTGTCTATATACAAAGGTATGGAGCCACCATGGGGTAGTGGTTTAAGTAGTGGACTATGTCTAGGAAAAACAAGGTTAAAATTCCCATTCAGCCATGAAGACCTACTAGCAGATCACACACGTATGCCCCATGAGAGATTCATCTTGGGATCATCATAAATTGGAAATGATTGGAAGCACACAACAACAACAACAACATCAACAACAACATATTAGAAGGATAAATCTATATACAAACATTTTCATAAATGGAAGGCCAGAAGGTAGTTTGTTGAAGGTTTGTGCATTGTCATAGAAGAAAGACTGAAAAAGAATGCCTCCGAAAATGAAATCTCCTGACTGAGAGTATTTGGAAAAAACAGACCAAGAAGGTGACATCTCATATTTTACATCCTGAACTTGGCAGTCTACCAGAGGCAGCAGAAGCAACCATACTAATATTACCATTCTTACTGCAAATCGCAGACCTTTTAGTTTTTTATCTGCTCTATTGCCATGTAAATCTCCTTCATTACAACAGTCTGACTTAAATTATTGCATCAGCGGTAATAAAACAATAATTACAACAGCCTGATTGAATCAGATGTGTTCCAAATTTTAAGTCTTGTTCTCTGAAATACAAGTAGGGTATATGTATAGGGATCTTTTACAGCTTTTGTTATTAGTTTTACTACCGGCCATCAGAAATTCAGAGGAGATTTGTTTAAGCAGTATAATTTATTTTAATTTTCTTGGTAATTATAGAGATTCAAGCAAAGCAATATTCTCTGTCGCACTGCTGAAAAACACATCTTAATAAACATGTTTACCAAGTCTGAACACAAGCATTATCTCTTTGTTAACTACATGCGGTCGAAAGAGAAATGTTGAGCCCAAATAAGAGTCTTTTTAATAAGTGTAGCCTGATTAAGATTATGGTTAACGTCTTTCTATCTCTCTAAATTTTCAGTAGAATTGTTTTCCAACATGCTTTTCTGATTTTTATTCTCAAAGGAAGTATTGAGTAATTTTAATTATTTTCTCCTGCTTTGAGAACATTTCCAAAAACTGTACAGCAATTTAGTTAATTGACCTCTTTGTCCAGTCATTTTTGGTATTAGTGAGCAGGCTAGTGATTGTCAATGTGGTATTAGGTAGACATACATAGATTGGGTGAGAGTTTGCAACTGCATTTTATGGTCAGTGTTAAACCCATATAATGCAGTTTAATTGCACTGAACTGCATTACAGTATATGGGTCTATGCCAGTGATTCCCAACTTGTGCTCCTTGGAGCCCTAAGGGCTTTACATTCCCTTACTATCTATCTATCCCCTCTTCCTTCCCCTGTAACACAACTCCTAAACACTATTAACTTGTAAGACTTAGGGTAGACCTAAGGGGCTCCACTATAGAAATTTATTCTAAAAAGAGCTCTGCAAGTCAAAAATGTTGGGAACCACTCATCTACATTGACTATACAATGCAATTTAAACTGCATTATATAGCAGTATAAATCCAGCTTTTGACTACAGTTTTGGTTTCCCCCCCTTGAGGGGAAAGAATAATAATAATAATAATAATAATAATAATAATAATAATAATAATAACTTTATTTATACACTGCCACTATCTCCCTGAAGGGACTCAGGGCGGCTTACACGAGGCCAAGAAAACCTTGAGGAATTTCAGTATTTTAGAAATGCAATAAGGAATATTGAGAAATTGATTCAGAAACTGAAGAAATGGTAAGGTTGCAATCCTATCCCTATTTTCCTTGAATGAAGACAAACAAAATTGGCAAGGGAGCTTCATTAGAACTTGCCTTCCTCATTCAAGAACTGGACCATTATAGTCAGTCACATTTGCCCCTGTTGAGGGTGAGCAGCTGTATAACTGATTTGTTTCTGAATGTATCTGAAAAGTTGTTTCTGAAAAATTTAGCTCCCCTTCTGTGGATTGGAACTTCAGACTAAAGGGTCATTGGGGGATGAATTGGAAAGTATAGAAATGATTTGCCCTTCCATCGCACATTTAGCTAAATATATTCTGACTTATATAAATCATAGGGCTGGGTAACCACGGAAAAATTTGTTTCTAAACTCGATTTGTTTTTAGGGGGTTTTTGCGTTTCGTTTTTTAAAAGAATTCCGAAATTTTTCTTTAAAAAAGTTTGAAATATACGAAATTTCATAAATTACGAAACAATTACAAATCGATTCGTTAAT